CAAAAAAACTAACGATGTTAAAATTGTCTGTCGTGAGAAGAGAAGATGTGTCATCTTCTCCCTTCGTCATAATAAAGTCAAGTTTAAACAGGTTTTTTTATTAAATATGATGGCAAAACATTATGATAACAATATTTAAAATGTTTAAACGAAAGACAAAACCCCTCTCCTCAAAACTAACAACTTATTAGTTCATTTAGCACTGTGGAATTAAGGAATGAAATGAAATGAAAGGGGGTTAACGTCCTACTGTTCTACTCCGACTGGGATAATGAAGACAGGCATACACCATACAGTGTGTTATGAGGGAAATTGTGCCCGGACAGCAGGGCTACAACCTACTCTTATATCGAGTTCCAACTGCCAAGGGATCTTTTACGTGCACGCCATCCAAACGTCTAATAATCACATATCCCCGATAAATACACCTTAAGATATATGAAATAGATAATATAAACAAAAAATAAAATAAAATAAAAAAAAAACAACATGAATATATAGTGTCATGGTAAAATTGGAATATTAAGTCATCTGAATCAAGATGTTTGTCTTTATTCTAGCAGTACATGTAATATAAAGGAGATAATATATTTTGAATATTAGACGTTTTCAAATTGAAATATGGTTTAGGTAATTGGAAAGATTTGGTATGTGTGTTGTAGTGAACTTACGACAAGCATATAGATACAGACATGATCTATACAGGTGAGGTAGTTTCTCTTCTTTAATTTGACAATAATTACACGTTGTATCAATTATATGGAAAGTACCTACTTGTAACAGAGAGAGAGAGAGAGAGAGAGAGAGAGAGGGGGGGGAGATATTAACGTCCACTCGACACAAACCAGGTCATTTCGGAACTAACATATGGTTTAATTTTTATTTCAATAATTCCCTTGCTCGTAGGGCTCTTTAGCAGTGGGGGGGGGGGGGGGCGGAGGACCCGGAGAAAACCCACGAGGTTGAACAGGCAACCCTACTCCTTGTCAAGTACAAGAGGCGAAAACACGCCACTTGACTCAATGACAGACCTTCTGATCGAACGTTAACCATTCGCCTACGCCCGATTGTAAAAGTGACTTGGTTTTAAGTGTAGAATTAACAATAATAAAGTCCACTAATTATTCTGTCAAAATGAATATATACCAATATCAATCTAAGAAAATGAAACTATAGTTCTTTATTATAGCTTTAATCATCTGTATGATTATGTATGTAAAAGCTGCTTAATAAAACAATGAACCAGTCCCTGTGATACCGGGTGACACAAAAAAAGCGTTCATCACCTAAACTTGGTCGACGAAGAGGGGTCGCCAGGGACCTCTAGTGGTTCCAGCAGGATGGTGCCACCCCCCACACCTCAAACGAATCATTGGCATGGCTACAGCAGCGTTTCCCTGACCGACTGATCAGCTGCAGGTGTAACCCGGAGTGGTCGCCGCATTCACCGGACTTGAACGCCCCAGATTTTTATCTGTGGGGATACCTTAAGGGCAGGGTATATGGCAACAACCCCCAGACTATCCCTGATCTGAAGGCAGCAATCACAGCAGCAATAAAAGCGATCCCAAGGGAAGAATGTGGGAGGGTCATCGAGAACTTTGCCCGCCGGATCCAAATGTGCTTGCAGCACCGGGGAGCTCATTTAGAGCACATTCTTTGAGCGCCAGTTAAACAAAGAGTTTTTGTGGTACAGACTTGAAACTTTGGAGATGTCTGCTACATAGACTTAACCTAATGTAGCTGATTAAGGATTATAGCTGGCCACCTGTTTAAAAAGTTCATAAATTGGTCGGTTGTAATCCTATATGATCCACCCTTTCTTCTCACGACAGCGATTTTATAAGTGTGTTTTAAGGTGACTTTTTGATTTACAAGGACATACATATTTTGTGTTTTTATCAGTCTTCAAACCTTTTTAAAGTATAAATAATTTAATTAAATCAACCTGTCCATAATATCATATTTATTGTATTGGATGATAAATCTATAATAAACAACAACAACAACATCCTAAACTTTTATCTGCGATATCACCTTAGATGGAAGCGGAGTTAAACCCAAAAGAAAAAGAAGAAAGAAGCGTAGCAAAGCCTTGGTCACATCTTGCCGGTATCGACTACGGTGCACCCAGAATCTCCCCTGTATTTTCGACCAAGAGGTTTTGTTCACGACTTGACTGCCGTGCAACTACAGTTCACAACAGTAGGTCATGGTACTCCCCCGTTCAGATCATTTTTGTTAGTAATTTTATTTTTATTCTGGGGTGACATATTTTGTTTAAAAAAAAGAATAGATATTTATAAGCCTACTATTATAAAATGCATGTTTACGATAGATGGGGGGAGGGGCATGAAACGTCTTTGGAATGAAATAGAATGCGGTTTATTGTCTCGTCAACACCACACACACTTAGGAAATGAAATGAGGTTTAACGTGGTAGCGCATGGTCGCTGTATTCTAAGGTCTGTCATTGAGTCAACTGGCGTGGTTTTTATTCCCTGGTTGTATGTGGCAAGGAGTAGGGTCGCCTGTCCAACCTCGTGGGTTTCCTAAGGGTCCTCCGGTTTCCTCCCACTGCTAAAGATCCCTACGTTCAAGGGAATTTTTGAAATAAAATTGAAACATATGTTAGTCCCGAAATGACCTAGTTTGTGTCGAGTGGACGTTAAACCCCATCTCCCTCGTCATATGTCATGGTTTCGACTCCTACTAACCTAGTGGGTTTCATTGCCCCCCCCTCTCCCTCTCTCCCTCTCTCTCCGCCTCTATCTTTCTCTCTCTTACTGTTCTGCTTCGACTGGGCTAATGAAGATTAATTTCAATGTTCGTGCGTATCAGACAGTAACTTTCTAGGTTATGACCCCCGATTTTTAGTCTGTTATCTATGCAGCTCTTGCAAAACGTGGGCGTAGCTTGCATGACAAACGCTTGTTATGAGATCTATTCATTATATAACTATACGCTTTCTCCACTGTTTTACTGTGAAATATCATGGGCGATCAATGTCGTGTGTGTGAAATAGCTTTATTTTACGTCCGCTTCTGCCGAGGTGATATCGCAGCCAATCGATCAATGACTTAGCGTGTCTGTGTCACAAAATAGTAAAGGAGGAAGTATGACCCAGATTTATTCTCACTGATGTACATTTAAAGATGGGTTCCCAGAAAAGTATTTATCGGGTGGTTATTTCCAATAAAAGTATGACAATTTTGGTATATATGGAAAGTAGAGATATCCAATCTTGCTATTATAGAAAAATACTGGATTCTCCGAAAAACACTCATGGAGCGTATACAGGACAAAAAATGTAAGGGTTCCCCTAATCGACAGCCCGACGATTAGAAATATCTGCACGCGTGATGTCAAAGGCCACACGCGAACATTGGGCGCTTAATGTACAAGTTGATAAACTTTATGAAGAGTTAGACGTACAACACTTTCTGAGATAGAAATGACGGAGAAAGACGCGGGTAGTGGATAATCCGAGACTTTAATTAGGATTCGATATTTGTAATAAATAGTAAGCGATTAAAAACAACATCGTCTTATGTATGCAATGAATTCTCCTCTGACTCTGACTTCCAAGAGAGGTAAGTCACGTGACGTAAACATGACCTGGTTTAATCGAATTTTTATAGCAGGGCATTCCTTCGAAATTACAATGTTTGAGAAGGATTTGAAGCAAAATTATGACAAATTAATTAGTTCGAATATGTTTTAGTCCATATATACCATTAAATCAACCAGTTTGTACGCGGGAATGTATCTTTAACATAGAGGCAGGTAAATCAAGTGACCTAATTTATCAGTTCAAATAATCGTGGCTTTTATCCTGTACGCCAATATACCTTACCAATAATGAATGAAGTAAATGAGGTTTAACATCCTACTTTTCTGCACCCACCGGGCTAATTTCATCTTGTTTCAATTTGTGAAGTGATAAATACAACATGATACTAACTTCATGAAACTAAACCTCTGATTAAAATTTGTACATAATATTCGAAATTAAAAATACGAAATATGATTCAATATTGGTCCGTTTCATTAAACATGCATTATCCAAGAGCTAAATCTGCCAATTGCAGGTCTTTCTTTAGGCCTGAAATGTTATCTAATATATTAATTAGACATTAATTAATCAACCATAATCAACTCTCGATGGCATCGCTAGCCTACGATATTTACTGGATTATGATCCCATTTACTGCTCGACTTCCATTCATAATTTAATCATGAAATGGATGATCGAGACTATGTTTTTGTTTATGGTACAGACTTTAGTAATGATGATATGATCGAGGCTAGGCCGAAATTTCAATAGCTTAATTCTCGGTTCATAATCGGTCAATTTGACTGAAATTTTCAGCATATTCACTTTACATTATCTAGTTTATAACCATTATAGTTCGAATTGCCCACTCTTGATCTTATCTCGCATAACGTATATTTAAATATTGATTTCGGTATCTTATCGTGAAAATATGGTATCTTAAATGAACACATTGAACATTTTAAAATCAGTACAGGAGTCGTGTTAGAACACAAAGTATATCACTAAGTCATGTGTCATGGTTTCGACTCCCCGCTTGTACGTGAAAAGGAGTAGGGTCACCTGTCTAACCTAGTGGATTTTCTCGGGTTTCATTGACCTCTCTCTCTCTCTCTCTCCCTCTCTCTCTCTCTCTCTCTCTTTTAAAATCTGAATATAAATCATTTATATGTACATTTATATTACAGATGTATGCGTTTTAAGTATTATCTCGATTATTGACATGACTAATCTTTTATTTAAGATTGCACAATCTCTCTCTCTTTTAAAATCTGAATATAAATCATTTATATGTACATTTATATTACAGATGTATTGACATGACTAATCTTTTATTTAAGATTGCACAATGTACTGAGTGGGTCGCGACATTTTCTACTTTTAATTCGATCGATTTATTATGATGTGCGGGTGGTGCACTGCCACTGTTCGAGATAAGCATGACGCTATCAGTACAGTATTAGACTACAGTGTTGACTTAAACTTGATTGTGAAAGAACAGATCGACCAATCCCTTTACGCTATGTATAAGAATTGATACTGAACAAAGCTTTAATGTAGTCGAGCCTGCTAGAACGTGAGTATTATTCATACACCTGTGATGCTTATAATCCAATTAGAAACCAAGATGACCAGGTATGGCGCCTTGATCACAAGAGAGAGAGAGAGAGAGAGAGAGAGAGAGAGATGGTTATCAAAGATTTTTTTTTGATATTTTGTTTATAGATAATCAAGGTGAACATGTGGATGTATTGTATTGTTCTGTTACCTGTGTTTGTCCTGTTTGTAACACCTGTATATACAGCTAACGGTAAGTAGCCTCCTTTCATTATATACATATCAGTTATATTGTAGTGATGGTGTGTTCACCATTACATTGATGCAAGTACAAATAGACTCAAACGAATACTTTTCATTACATCATCATAATTTGTCTTATTTTATCTAACAAAAAAAAGAAGTATAAACCATCAAAACCAGTTTCTCATTTTTGAAGCGAGAATTTATACGCACAAGTCGTCATGACGTCGAGTAGCCGTTGTTTTGTTTTTTTCAAATCCTAGAATTTCCCTTTGATTTCAGTGTTAATAAGCTATGTGAAGTGCCCTTATTGCGTTCAGATTAAATGGGAATTACGGGCTTAACTAACTAGCTTGACGACGTGCTAAGGAAAATGAGCTAGATACATGAAACTTTGCACATCGTTAGAACTAAACCTTAGTATCATGTACCAGTTTCAAATTTTACAGGAAAGGAAATCAGCCACATTTTTACAGAAAAGTAATCAAAAAAAATAACGAGTCTTGTATTTTGCTCTAAAATCCACACCACAAAAGGTGTATGCTCAAAGCCCCGACCACACAACGAACACACACTATCACTCAACAACACAATTTCACTAATTATACATCTGCCTTCAAATGTTATATAAACTATTATTAAGACATCTATTCACATGTCAAGCCCACAATCTAATCTCTCGACCATTAGATATTAAATGATAATATATCTCTCATTCATTTAGACTTTCTTTTATTATGATGACAATACATGTAGTACTCGGGAACATGATCGGAGACCATAAAAACCATGTTTTATCAAAACTTCATTATTTATAACTTTGTTCAGAATAAAGTAATTTGACAGAAATTATTGTCAAGAACAGCAAGAGATTTAACTAAATCTTACACATTTAAAGATGTAGTATTTAAACTTGAGATAAAGAGCTGACAGTTTTCGCTATAATAGCTAAACATAGATAATAGCCAGAACGGTGAGCGATTTATCAAAATTTGACACGTTTAAAGGTGCATTAGATAAAGAGCCGAGAGTTCTCGCTATAATAGTTTCAAAAAAGATAATAAAGAGTGGATATTATGTTAACAATTTCAGTCCAATTATTTCATTCTAAGTAGAGTTAATGCCGCTAGAAGATAGAAGAACAGTTTAGTCTCGATTATCATTGTTACCGTTGTTACGATGATAGTCTGGATTATCCAGTTTTTAATTAAATCATTTACTAGCAATCGAGTTGATTATGTTCTTGACATGTGAATACATGTCTAATTAATGATATATAAAACATCTGGGGCCAACATAATGACCTGAAATAGGCAGAGGTAGCGCTTAAGTAGATCTTTAAGTAGAACTGTCTTGGGAAAAGAATCTTTTGTTTTTTTCACAGATGTATCAGTTCGTTTACGCGATGGTTTTAGAGAAAATGAAGGCAATATACAGGTGAAAGTGAACAATATTTGGAGATATTTGTGTGCTAACACTTTGTACTGGTTGAATTCACGTGAAGGCGATGCTGTTTGTAAAGAACTAGGCTATAGATCAGCTGGGGCAACTGTAACTATGTTAACAGATGTTGGTAGAGACGAGTCTATAGGATACTGGTCACCCAACACGAATATATCATGCAATTCAAACGATAGCAGTCTATTCAGTTGTAACAATACAGGTTTTACACATGCAGCATCATGCGATACGAAGAAACAAGTAAATTCAAAAGTATATTGCTTCAAAGATGGTAAGACTGAGTATTTTAGCTAAAAACAAACACCTCTCTCTCTCTCCCTCTCTCTCTCTCTCTCTCTAACGTCCTCGTGCATTATCAATATTCCAATATTATTATAGTCAGAGCACATTCTCTACCCTTCCTTCATTCTGTGATAGTATTTGGGGGATTGCTTATGTTTACTTGGCGACAGTTATCATCTATTCTCTTTGGAAATGATTTAATTACCGATACCCTTTCATAAAGCCTAGCCTTAATTACTCTCTCTCTCTCTCTCTCACTCTCTCTCACTCTCACTATCCCTCTCTCTCACGAAGTCTTAATACCGATACCCTTTCATAAAGCCTTACCTTAAGAGGCTTTAGTTCATCCCCATACAACCATGTTTGTGCAAGTTGGACTAATTCTGCAAAATGGAGTGTGAAATGAAATGAAATGAAATGAAATGGGGTTTAACGTCCTACTGTTCTGCTCCTATGCTTGGCTAATGAAGACGGGCCTACTCTTATATCAAATTCCAACTGCCAAGGGATCTTTTACGTGCATTCCGATATATACACGGGACCAAGGTTTTTCGTCTCATCCGAAGGACTAGACAGCTGTCCTTGCCAGGCCCTCCGTCCTGCATCGCTGGCAAGGGGGAACCACCCGGAAAATCGGGATGAACTATCTCGGCCAATGCAGGGATCGAACACCCGACCTCCCGGCTAGCGCCGTGCCAGTAACTGCAGCATAAAATACTATAGCAAAGACTTACGCAAAGAATGTAGCAAATACAAAGATATACACCACTATTAAATTCCTTGTAAAAACTCGTTATCAAGACGTATGTTCATCTGTCTGGTTATTTAAAAACAAGCAAACCCGGGGCTGTTCATGGTTGAGAGAGAAAGAGAGAGAGAGAGAGAGAAATGGGGTTTAACGTCCACTCGACACAGACTAGGTCATTTCGGGACCTAAATATGGTTCAATTTTATTTCAATAATTCGCTTGCGCGTAGGGGTCTTTAGCATTGGGAGGAAACCGGAGGACCTGGAGAAAACCCACGAGGCTGGACAGACGACTCTACTCCTTGTCACGTACAGTTGACTCAATGACAGACTTCATGATACAGCGCGCTCACGCTAACCATTCAGCCATCCAACCCTCCTTTCATGGTTGAGACAACGTCAAGTTCTGTGGGTATATTGGAGAATTTCGTGAAATCAGAAGCTCTGAGACCAGGTGTCTGCCCATGTTGGTGCAGGCGTGTATACGATTAGAGTGGAATGAGGTCAAAACGTTTGTTCTACGTGGGCAGGGAAGGGTCCGGACAACCACCCACCCTGTGGAAACAGTATCGAAAACTGTATCTTGTAATTGTTTATTTCAGTGAGATTTGGGGTTAGGATTTTGCGCGATATTCATCGTGGCGTGGCATTTGTATTCAACACCGATCTGAAAAAATATCAGACTCTATGTCAAAACGATTTTACACCCCAAACAGCTAAAGTGTTTTGCAGACAAATGGGCTTCTTGAACGGAAGCTCAGATCAAAACACATTACCTGGACTAAATGGTGCTACTGTGATGGATAAATCGTATGTTTGTTCCGGAGATGAATCGAGTCTTCATGAATGTACACAAGTTGACACTACTAGCGGATGTAATGCATATGTTATTTTTGCTGAAGTACGGTGCACCGGAGACCTCACATTGTACGGAAAAGGTAAAATCTTAATATATTAACGGGGAGGGAGGGGGTATTTGGTTGGGAAATGAAATGAAATGAAATGGGGTTTAACGTCCTACTGTTCTGCTCCTAACCTGTGCTAATGTAGACGGGCATACGCCATACAGTGTGCTATGAGGGAAATTTTGCCCGGACAGCGGCACTACGGCCTACTCTTATATCGAATTCCAACTGTCAAGGGATCTTTAACGTGCACGCCAATGTGTACACGGGACCTCGGTTTTTCGTCCCATGCGAACGACTAGACAGCTGTCCTTGTCAGGCCCTCCATCCTGCATCACTGACAAGGGAGAATCACGCCGGAAAATCTGGATGAACTTTCTCATGCAGGGATCGAACACCCGACCTCCAGGCTAGCGAGCCAGCGTCTTACCCACTTAGCCACGCGATTTGGTTGGGTCGGAGAGGGAGGGGGTATATGGTTGGGACGGAGAGGGAGGGGTTATTGGGATGGAGATGGAGGGGGTATTTGGATAGAGATGGGGGGGGGGGTGTATTTGGTTGGGATAGAGAGGGAGGGGGTATTTGGTTGGGATGGGGGGGGGTGTATTTGGTTGGGATGGAGAGGGGGTATAAATTAAATTATTAAATGGCGATCTTGTTTCAATCCAAGACCTGGCAATAGGCGGATTTAGCTCTTTATAATTCTATTTGTCACGCCTATTCCTGCCTGGAGGATTAAAATATGGCCATCCCCATTTAAAGACTTTAGCTCTATGTATATTCCGTCCAGAGCATGTATTTTTATTATCTATTTTATTTGTAGTTGACAGGTTAACACAAGGAAGTGGAATTGTTAAAGTTTATGACGATAAAGGTGAACCTAAAATACTGTGTGCTGATGGTTTTAATGAGAATACAGCCAAAGTGGTGTGTCGAGGACTAGGTCATGGTGATAAAGGGTCTGTATTACCGTCTTCAGCCTACCGTTATATATACACTAGTCCAACAGCTGATAAAGACAGACTGAAGATGTCGTTTAATTGTGATGGTACTGAAGTTAGACTGAGAGATTGTGCTAACTCCACCAAACTATCGTGTGAGAAACCAGATGAAGTAGCGGCTGTTATATGTTCGTCCAACGCTACTGGTAGGCATAATGTGTGTATTGATACTCTACTGGTAGGCAAGCGAGCTGACGATTGCAGCCATTGATTGTGTATTCCTAATCTGCTGGTATGAATTGTGTATTCCTCCTACTCTACTGGTTCGCCCAAGCGGACTGACGATTGCAGCAATGATATGTTCTTCCAACTCCACTGGTAGGCATACGGGTTGACAATTGCAGCAATTATAGGTTCGCCCAACTCTACTGGGTGGCATTCTGGCTGACGATTGCAGCAACTCTCCTAGTATACACAAAGCAAACCATCTGGTTCGCACCAAGCTAGCTAATTATTTCTCAGTTTTAACGTTTATAATCAAATATTGCTTTGCATGTGATTAATGCTTTGTCTTCTGTAATGCTGTTTAATTTCAGGGGAAGGAGTTACAAATGTTGCAAGAATGGGTGAAGTGACGGTTAAGTACCATGGTGTCTGGGGTTCTATATGTACAGATCATTGGAATGATAATGCTGCTAGGGTTGTTTGTGGAACTGCTTCAACACATGCCAGAGCTATATCCAGATCGGTATCGGGACTGCAGAATCCAATGTGGATATTTGATGTTAATTGTACTAGACAGGAAGATAGTCTAAAATCCTGTCAGTTGATAACAGATGGTAACAGTTATAGATGTAAATCACCCGAGCAATCAGTAGCATATTGTTATAATGATAGTAAGTAACCAGTCATATTGTTATATTGTTAGTAAGTAACGAGTCATATTGTTATAATGATAGTAAGTAACGAGTCATATTGTTATATTGTTAGTAAGTAACTAGTCATAATACTATATTGATAGTAAGTAACGAGTCATATTGTTATATTGTTAGTAAGTAACTAGTCATAATACTATATTGATAACAAGTAACGAGTCATATTGTTATATTGTTAGTAAGTAACTAGTCATAATACTATATTGATAGCAAGTAACTAGTCATATTGTTATATTGTAAGTAAGTAGCACGTCATATTGTTATATTGATAGTAAGTAACGAGTCATATTGTTATAATGATAGTAAGTAACTAGTCATATTGTTATAATGATAGTAACTAGTCATATTGTTATAATAATAGTAAGTAACGAGTGATATTGTTATAATGATAGTAAGTAACTAGTCATATTGTTATAATGATAGTAACGAGTCATATTGTTATAATGATAGTAACGAGTCATATTGTTATAATAATAGTAAGTAACGAGTCATATTGTTATAATGATAGTAAGTAACTAGTCATATTGTTATAATGATAGTAAGTAACAAGTCATATTGTTATAATGATAGTAAGTAACGAGTCATATTGTTATAATGATAGTAAGTAACAAGTCATATTGTTATAATGATAGTAACAAGTCATATTGTTATAATAATAGTAAGTAACGAGTCATATTGTTATAATGATAGTAAGTAACTAGTCATATTGTTATAATGATAGTAACAAGTCATATTGTTATAATGGCAGTAAGTAACAAGTCATATTGTTATAATGCTAGTAACGAGTCATATTGTTATAATGATAGTAAGTAATGAGTCGTATTATTATATTGATAGTAAGTAACGAGTCATGTTGTTATATTTATAGTAAATAACGAGTCATATTGTTATAATGATAGTAAGTAACTAGTGATATTGTTATAATGATAGTAAGTAACTAGTCATAAAGTATAAATTTGACGTCATCAGTAGATGTTGACGTGCCATTATTGCAACAATGGTGCGGGCAACGTACCAGTTGTACGTTATTTTATACTGGATGAAATATTAGACGATTTCATTGAAATGTACATGCGAGATAGCGTCTATATTTTAAGTTGTTTAATGGTCTTTAACGAGGCATTGGACGATATATTGCTACAGCCCCTCTGTCTAACGTCCTCGTGCATTATCAAAATATGACCATTAAACTGCATATGTTGTCATAATAGGAGACATAGGAGCACATTCGCTACTCTTCTTTGCACCATGTCGGCCTGCTTTCATTCTGTGATAGCATTTTGTGGGAATCTTTATGTTTACATGTACTTGGCGAAAGTTATTATCTATTCGTTTTGAATTCATTTAATTACTCTCTCTCTCTCTATTTCTATTATATTTATCCAGAGGTGGAACAGGTATCAGAAATCATGTTATCTTAATTTCAGTGTTTAAATATTCATTGATTGGGGGTGGCATGTAATTCTAATTTCAGTGTTTAAATATTCATTGATTGGGGGTGGAACCAACTACGGGTATGTTCAAATAACTAAGGATGGTAAAACGGGATTTGTAAAGATTCCGGATAGAGAATCGACTGATGATGTTGCTGAAGCGGCTTGTAATAGTCTTGGTTTTAATGGTGGTCTATCACACCCCATGCCTGTAACATCCTCAAAATATTACTGGAATATCGTGGTTGACCGTCAGATGTATGACTTCCTCCGTCTTAAACCTGCGGATGTCCTGCCTTCAGGTGATGATCAACAATACCTCTCCGTGTCTTGTTTCAGAAGAGGTAAGTAAAAGAAACGATGGCGAACAGAATCATACACTTTGTAGGTCGACATTTCCCAGATATTACACTGCCGTTCAACAAGTCATAAAGATTAAATGGCGGAAGAATTCTGGTTTAAAATCATACACGAATTATTTTAAGTGGACGATTCGGAAATATTACCGTTCTGCTCAACAGCCCATTCCGATGCCCTGAATCCCGATGTTGTCATTTCGGCTTTGAATCCTGCAATTCGAAAATTCAACCATATAACACCTATTGTGAAAGGATTGCACTGGCCCCTATCAAATGGCGCATTTAATATAAGTTACTGTGTAAAGTGTTTAAATGTGTCAACGATTCAGCCCTTTCATACCTTCAACAAGTGATACACAATTACAGTCCTACACGCAACCTCGAATCAAGAAACCAACTGAGACTTAGAATTGTCTTGTTTGTATTTATATTAAAATTGTTTGGGTTTTTTTACAGTTAAAATTGATGGAAGTCTTAACAATCCGTTGAGTGCTGGTTATGTTTTAGAGTTCAAATATAACAAGTTTTATGGTATCTGTGCTGATAGTTTTACTAAGAGAGAAGGTGACGTAGTGTGTAAAGAACTTGGATTTGACAAAGCCGTGTCGGTTAACGAAGGGATTAATGATGATCGCAGTGTGCTTGGATTTCATGATTTTACTTGTCCTGAAGGAGCAAACTCTACAGCTGAATGCACATCAAGATTTACTGGTAACAGAGATGGGTGCTCGATGGGGAAAGCTTCTGTAGGCTGTGCAAGCGGACGGAAAACGCAAGGTTTGTTCCATCATATTTAAACCGTATTTAGTCCGTTCGTCGACGATACTAGTCAGTTGTGCACTGTCGTCATCTGGAAGCGCAAGTTTTGTTCCTGCATATCTAAACCTTGTTTACTCTATGCATTGATAATGCTGGTTGGTTATACTGTAACTGTTGTCATCGGTTCCTCTTTTCAATGTCAGCATCATTATTGGACCACTGGGCATATTCCTTCAGTTCAGCTACGCATTGATAAGGCGAAGAAAACTGTTGACCCAAGTGTATTCCTGCATTTACAGTGTGTATTATCAAGGCAGGCAATAATTTTGACCTAAAGCGTAGCTCACAAACCGTCGTACGTGTTTGGACACGCACGGGTCTTAGAGATTGGTAGCTCGCAGACCAGCGGCAGGAAACCAGGTGAAAATGTTGTATGCGCAGGATCAAAAGTTTCTGCGGCTAGTCTGCGATCTGCTAATGTGCCAGAACACACGCAAGCAACGCGTACGTCTCACGTATAGGTTTATTAAAATGTTCCTCTTGGACTACCAGAAGTAGAACTTACGGCGGGTTGTAAGCTAGGCCTAAGGGTTGGGAGTGTAAGTGTATTCATTCCGTTAAAGCTGAACTCCGATTACAAAACTAAAGAAATAATTAAATAAAAAAAGCTAACGCCCTAAACGATCGCCATACTTGTTTTCAATTCGTAGAACAAAATGCCGATCGCTTAGGGTATTCATAAGACGGTGGATACTGTTGGACTAAGGGATGTAAGTGAATGGTAAGGCGGGTAATACTATTGTCATACAGGTGGTTCTGGTGACCTAGAAACGCACGATATTGTTACTACCATAATGCATGTTTTACAAGTGACCGAGGAACGCACGGTATTGTTAAAAGGATACTGCATGTTTTACAAGTGACCGAGGAACGCACGGTATTGTTACTACCATACTACACGTTGTACAAGTGAATCCATGACCACTCGGACCAAGACTACTAGGACCAATTGATAGACCTCTCGGACCAAACGAAAAGACCACTCGGACCAAACAAGACCACGTTGTACAAGTGATCGGGAAAAGTAAATGTTTCTTTCGTCAAGTAATGTCAGTATGTATTTATGATGGGTGGGTTGGGCCCGTCAAGAAATCCATTGAAAATGAGGTTAAAGTTTTACGTTTCTGCACGAACTGTGCTACGAAAGACGGGCACATATCGTGTAGTGTTCTATTATGGACATTTTGTCGGGGCAGCGGCATTATTACCCTAATTGGGGGTCAATGTAGTTTAGAGGGTAAGACGTTGAGTAGCTAACCTGGAGGTCCCGTGTTCGATCCTTGCGTTGGCTGAGAAAGTTCATCATGCTCTTTTGGTGTGCCCCCCCCCCCCCTGTGGCGTCGGTGCAGAACAAAGGTCTGGCTAGGGCAACGTATACTCGTTCAGATGGCGGAACGAAACACTGAGGTTCCGCGTACACATTGGTTTTCGGGTAAAAGATCCATTGGCAGTTGGAATTCAATATAACATGTGGCACACAAATAATTACTTAGTGCCATCAATATATTTCGTTTTTATATATTGAATTTGCATTTTTTTTTTTAAATACCCTTTTTATATTTTTCAGCTTCTGTTTTTATTACTATCCTCTGCCTCATGATGGTATTTCTATCTTAATTCCAACATTTCAACACAAGCTAGTAACCAAAGCAACTGTTTTATTTAAAGATACATTATATAAGATTTAGATAAAAAAAAATGGTGGGACGTTCTTGTCATAATAGTTTGAAAATAGATATTGAAAATTTCATTAATAAAATTTATTCTGTGCGAAAAAGGGGTGATGGAATTCGTTTATTGTTATTGTATGTAAAGATACAGTTCCACGAAAAGGTAGTAATATCCAGTAGAGAGAGAGGGAGAGAGAGAGAGAGAGAGAGAGAGAGAGATGTGGTTTAAAGTTCACTTGACACAAACTATGCCATTCATGTCCTTGTATTGAATTGGTCGATCAAGTAGGTTCATGCTATATGTATGTCCTAGAAGCAAGTAGGACGGGTAGTCTTCTTCCATTTCCGCCCTTTTCCTGACATCTTTGTATGTTGGTTGGTGTTTGTTGGATAGATCTTTTATTCTTACTGGCGCTAGGTAATTTCGAGACTAAAATATGTCTCAATTTTATTTGAATGATTTGCTTGCGTGTAGGGGTACTTAGCAAAGGGAGGAAACCGGGGGACCCGGAGAAAACCCACAAGGCTTGACAGACGACCCTATTCCTAGCCACATTCAAGCGGGGAATCACATAACAGTAGGGCCTATTTCAAATATGATATTTGCATATAAAGAAAGTACAGACTTAAATCTTCAGCACTGGACACTGACATTCGCCCGAATCAAACATGTTTGATATATTCGGCCGAATTCGACTGGCGTGTCCGCTTCACCGAAGCATTCGTTTAGTTTTAGAATTCATTAGCCAATCACCATCATTATTTATATCGAGAAGTCGCGTGATTGTTTAAAGACCTATGTTAAATCATCTGTCATGAAAGGTGATGCAATCGTTGTGAATCTGATGATGGATTCGTCTAGAGTGTTCACTCATTCAGCCGAATCTCATTCGGCTGCAATTCTGCGCAATTTCGGTTTGGACAAACGGTTGGGCCGCATCATTCGCGTAGTGTGTCCAGCGCTTTACTAGAAAAAACAATGGGGCATGCACAGAACAAATTTAAAAATGTAAGGGTATCACAAATTGGCAGTCGAAATGTGACATGGGTACTACAGCCTACAACTTACAACTACCATGGGGTCGATTAAACACACGCCGATGTGTACATGGGACCACGTGTTTATTTGTTCCATCGAAACGACTAGACAGGGAAACCATGCTGAAAATCCAAATGAGATTTCTCGATCACCACTGGGAGCGAATCCACAGCCTCCACACTAGCAAGCCAGCGCCTCACTCATTCAGCCGCATGGCTCTCTTCTAATAACAGTCCAGTCACGTAACAAACAAGTGTTATTAAAACCGATTTTCCAAGCTTAGGTAAGATCTTCAGGATCCAAATGGTTTTAGATATATATTTTAGTTTCAATTCATATCACCCAATTTGTATATGATAAGGTATCTTTAACGGTTAAATACATGTCATGTATTTTTTTTTTCAGTTTCCATATTAGATTCCATAGCAAATCAAAGATCATAATTATAATAAAATAAATATAAAAAAACAACAAAAAATGGGAGACGAAATGATGATTAGAGCACCTATGATTTCTGGTGGGATTTTTGTTTTTTTTTGGGGGGTGGGGGGGGGGGGGGGTGGAGGGGGGGGGGTAAGTGTTCAATTCTAATAGAATAGGTTTCTGTTACGGTATATGGAATCTCACCTTAATGTGTTTGACACAATATAGCCCGGTTGGAGATGACGTGACATATACCGCCATTTCATTTTATTATTTTGAAATTTAAAATAAATTGAGTTTAGTATAGTAAGCCTGTACACGTACATGTATGTGCACAGACCGAATCTTACTTATGTCTAGATACATGTAGATATGGCGGTGGCCATACAAATACAATGTAATTAATTAAAACTTTCATCTTTTAACTGGGAGTCAATTTAAGTAAACTAATACAAAGTATGGTTTTGGAGACACAATACATGTATGAATCGGGTGAATAATTGACCTATTATGAGACTTCAGTCCCAAATCTAAACACTTTTTTTCTGACTTGATTTGATTTGGGCATAATAATCTGCCTGGGTCTCTAACTGGACAAGACACAATAAGTGTTACTGTTACGCAAAGTTGAAACCAAACAGAGACTCAGTCTCGAGGTGACAAAATAAATGGTTTATTTAAACATTGCGAAGCACGGAAAGTTTTTTTATTGCCTATTTTTTATTTTTTTGTAGGCCGGAAAATAGTTGAATAAAGCTATTGTCTCACATATCAAATTTTAATTAATGTTGATACCCCTCTTTCTAGTAAATATTGTGCTATTAATTAATATTGATACCCTTCTTTGTAGTAAATATTGTGCTATTAATTAATATTGATACCCTTCTTTCTAGTAAATATTGTGCTATTAATTAATATTGATACCCTTCTTTGTAGTAAATATTGTGCTATTAATTAATATTGATACCCTTCATTCTAGTAAATATTGTACTATTAATTAATATTGATACCCCTCTTTCTAGTAAATATTGTACTATTAATTAATATTGATACCCCTCTTTCTAGTAAATATTGTACTATTAATTAATATTGATACCCCTCTTTCTAGTAAATATTGTACTATTAATTAATATTGATACCCCTCTTTCTAGTAAATATTGTGCTATTAATTAATATTGATACCCCTCTTTCTAGTAAATATTGTACTATTAATTATTTATACGAGGTTATGGATTATGTTTTCATTTGTCAATACTCTCTGTTTTCATGCATCAGGGTATTTACTCGGCAATAAAATCATTGGGCTTGAATTTTCTTAAATTATTTCCTATTCATTCCTTCGTGATTGTGAAATACCAGAGCAGAAATAATGTTTTGGGTAAATGGCACGGATGGGCACAATCTATCCTATTGTTGTCTTTGGTTTTGAAGGTGCAACGCATGTATTTAGCACGTCGAGCCAGGGATCTAAATTGTCAAATTTGTTCCACTATGAGGTATTTATATACACTTTGGTAAACTATCTATGGAATACAATACTGCTTATTCCTGGACGCCTTTCCGACAAGGGTCCCGTGGGCTAATATTGGCGCCTATCGTAACGATAGGTCATTTCGGGACTAACATATGGTTCAATTTTATTTCAAATATTTCGCTTGCGCCTTGGGGTCTTTAGCAGGGGTGGAAACCGAAGGACCGGGAGAAAACCAACGAGGTTGGACAACCGAGGAATCGAAACCACGCCAGATAACTCAATGAGTGACCTTATAATATAACGCGCCCGCACTAACCATTCGCCCCCCCCCCCTCTCAGGTCAATTTTGAACCAAGTCGTTTCTGTCCCCAAAAAAACAACCCCTTCTCCCACCCCACACAATGGGAATCATATACACATATCAAGAGATGTGCAGTGACATTAAAAAGTAATGTTTTGAGCCAAGCATTAGAAAAAAAAATCATCATTTAAATCAACGTGAACTAGTTTCCCGCCAATTTTACCCCCAGAAACTAACAGAAACTAATATGTTTAGCTACAGATGATGTTTATTACTGGTACTGGTGTATAAAGAATGTGTATAAGTAATAAAATTTAACATATACTAAAACAATCAATAAAAAAACAACCCCTTCTCCCACCCCACACAATGGGAATCATATACACATATCAAGAGATGTGCAGTGACATTAAAAAGTAATGTTTTGAGCCAAGCATTAGAAAAAAAAATCATCATTTAAATCAACGTGAACTAGTTTCCCGCCAATTTTACCCCCAGAAACTAACAGAAACTAATATGTTTAGCTACAGATGATGTTTATTACTGGTACTGGTGTATAAAGAATGTGTATAAGTAATAAAATTTAACATATACTAAAACAATCAATAAAAAAACAACCCCTTCTCCCACCCCACACAATGGGAATCATATACACATATCAAGAGATGTGCAGTGACATTAAAAAGTAATGTTTTGAGCCAAGCATTAGAAAAAAAAATCATCATTTAAATCAACGTGAACTAGTTTCCCGCCAATTTTACCCCCAGAAATTCATGTTTTATCAATATATAACATGATCAACATTTATGTCAACATATTCACATTTCCCCCGAATTGTAGACATTGAACCCCCACCCCCATCTCGCACACACACCCTCAAACGCCTGACCACCACACATATTCAGAATCTACGCATAAAACTGGTCTAGAAAACTTTTGTCTCATAAATTCACAGCTCGGGTGGCGATTTCCTCCACCACGCCCTTCAGCCACCGGACTAGATACGTTAGATGTGTTATTCTAACATGTAGAAACTAATATGTTTAACTACAGATGATGTTTATTACTGGTACTGGTGTATAAAGAATGTGTATAAGTAATAAAATTTAACATATACTAAAACAATCAATAATAGAGAATAAATAATAATAACAAAAATAATATTAAGATCACAATGAAATACAAAAACACAGGTACTGGTGTATACAGAGTGTATTAAGTAATAATATTCAATATAAACAATCAATAATAGAATACACATACTGGTGTATACAAAGTGTGTATTAAGTAATATATTTACAGAGTGTGTATTAAGTAACAATATTTAATATAAACTAACAGAAACTAATATTTTTAACTAAAGGTGACGTTTATTACTCGTACTGGTGTATACAGAGTGTGTAAGTCAATATATACTAAAACGATCAATAATAGAATACAGGTACTGGTGTATGTAATGTGTAAACAATCAATTATTAGACTGGTATAATGAGTGTGTATTAAGTAATAATACAAAATATATACTAAAGCAATCAATAACACAGAATGAATAATAATAATAAAATTAATATTAAGAACAGTATGAAATAAAAAAAATATCGTGATATAACACAGGTACTGATGTATACAGAGTGTATAATTAAATATATACGTAAACGGACAATAATAGAATACGGATACTTGTGTATTTGAGCCATATAGTAATATCAGTGTTTATAATGTACTCTAAAACAATTAATAATACAGATACTCATGTGGACAGAATGCGTGTTACGAGTGCTGTTGTATATAATCAACAATTCTGGTACTGGCGTATTCAGTGTATGTGAGTCATGTAATAATATTTGATATATACTAAACCAATCAATAATTCAGATACTGGT